AAGATTAGCTATCCTCCTTCACTCTGCTCGGATTAAAGATTAGAAGTTCGATGAGAGGTCATCGTTCTAATGGGTCAAGTGGGCGAAAGATACAAATAAAAAAAAAGCTGCATATATATATATATATATATATATATATACGTATACATACATACACGCAGATAATGATGAGGCAAGTGGGCGGAAGTAAAGGCGAAGGCGTAGCAGTGGCAGGTTGTTCTTGTAGAAGAAACAAGTCGACAGCGATTGTTGACAATGTATTGAAACAAACTGAAGCAAACGGGCCTTTACAGAGCCTTGCGGGGATCATTGAACCCAAGTGCCATGGCTGGGATCTATAGATCCAATGCCTAAGAGTTTGGTGTGCGGGAAAACTGGAGTGCCCCGAGAAAATCCACTTTCACTAGTCGGGACCGAAAGAAAGCCCGACTAGTGCCCGAGTGAAGAGCTATTGAAAAGATGAAGATCTGAAAAGTGAAATAGTTATATAATATACTCTTCTTCTTACTTATGTAGATCACGGTGGTGTGTTAGTGATGTTGTGTATCATGTTGTATGGGGATAGATATTAGTGATGTTGTGTATCATGTTGTATGGGGATAGATATTAGTGATGTTTTGTATCATGTTGTACGGGGATAGATATTAGTGATGTTGTGTATCATGTTGTATGGGGATAGATATTTGTGGTGTTGTGTATCATGTTGTATGGGGATAGATATTAGTGATGTTGTGTATCATGTTGTATGGGGATAGATATTAGTGATGTTGTGTATCATGTTGTATGGGGATAGATATTTGTGGTGTTGTGTATCATGTTGTATGGGGATAGATATTAGTGATGTTGTGTATCATGTTGTACGGGGATAGATATTAGTGATGTTGTGTATCATGTTGTATGGGGATAGATATTAGTGATGTTGTGTATCATGTTGTACGGGGATAGATATTAGTGATGTTGTGTATCATGTTGTATGGGGATAGATATTTGTAGTGTTGTATATCATGTTGTATGGGGATAGATATTTGCACCATGGTTTGGGGGTAGCGGCAATTTTGTGAAATTCAGCTGTGAGTGAATTCCAGTAGGTGGCTTTTTTGTAGTATTTAGTAGCAAGTTTAGATATAGGTTCTTGTACTGTATGTAGTGAAGGGTGTTTTTCTACATAACATGCTGGTCTGTAGTGTGGGAGGCGGTGGGCAAGACGTATTACTCGGTTTTGGAGTTTTGAAGTATCATACGTTGTTTGTTATTCATGTTACATGTTACCATTGAGTCATAGTCTATTAAAGGTCTGATAAATGTCTTGTAAATATACATCATTATCTGTGGTCTGCATCCGTAAGTGTGATGACCTATCTTGTGAAGGTATGCTATTCTGGTTTTAATTTTCTTACTTATTTCCTTGAAGTGTGTGTGCCATGTTAGTTTAGGGTTGATGGTTATGCCTTGAGATTTTGAAGTGTGTGTGCCATGTTAGTTTAGGGTTGATAGTTATGCCTAGGGATTTTGAAGATTTAGAGAAAGAGATGGGGGTATTGTAGAGGCTTAGTTTAGCTAACCTGACACGCTTTAGTATTTTGTTTAGCCTTCGGAAGAGAATGATTGCTTGAGTTTTAGTGGGATTGAGTATTATTCTCCATTTGTTGCACCACTATGTGATTTTGTCAAGGGCGTTTCTACCTTTAGGCGCTTCAAGCTGTTCGAATATATTTCTTACTTAAGGTTTGTTGTTAGGACAAAAACATTTTAATCGAAACATCTAGTGTTATCACTGGATAACATCTCAGAGGCTCTTCATTAGTGAGCATAAAATATTATATTCATTGTAATTTAAACTACTTCAGCATCATTGACACAGACGTTGAAGTTACGTTGAAAGTTAGGATGTCAGTTCCGTGCAAGTGAAAGTAAAAACAGAAATACCAAAATGTATTTTGTCATGAAATTTATAATTACCACATATATAAAACAAACGTAAATAAAGAAAAGAGACAAATTATTGAATTTTTTTCACTATTTTGTTTAAGTAATTTATCCCTCTGTGATAATGGTAAATAATTCAAAGCTCTTATTTTATTATTAACATGTGTATATTATTTTTCTATTGGCTATAGGATCGAGAACAGGCACGTGCTATTCATGAAAAAGCAAAGCTTCCCTTTTTTGAATGTTTTGTCGACACTCCGATCGAGGTGTGTGAAAAGAGAGATGTAAAAGGACTGTACAAGAGGGCTCGAGCCGGCGAAATTAAAGGTTTATTTTTTATCTGAAAATCATTAAGTCATTTGAGTACTTATTGAAATAAAAGCGGAAAAAAACCAGTCACATCTATTTTATGGAATTTAATTTTGTTATAGTATCGTTTTGATATCATTCTATTTGTAAGATAAAATTTACTGTTAGGCGGTTATATCAGAGATATTTACATTTGTGAGTTTTATCCTATAACAGAATTAAAGATGGATAATTTTCTATTCTAATTTTTCGTGCCTTTGATAAATACAAAAAGAAACTTGTTATAAAGGTGACGAAAACAGCGATTCAAAGTTAATTACAAGCAACAAGCTACATTTAAGGCATATTATTCAAATGTATCTTGAATGAATTTTTTGTGCTCTAAAAACATAAAGCTGATAATTTGTTATTAGGTTCTATTAGAAAAATATAAGCTAGACTTTGAGATATTAATAGTCATTGTTAGTAGCCTACACGATCACTCATATCTATTTGATCATTAGTAACTTTTAAAACTAGGTACTAATTAGTTTTATCTTATGTTTCAGCTGCTGTCGTCAGGGAAGTCTTAAGAAGGACTATTTTTATGTTGGTAATGGTCGGGATTCGATCCTGGGCCTTCTTGATAGAAATTGATGCGTAATATATTCAAACGAGTTCTTAATTAACATATAAAGATGTGAACACCTTTTTATAAGCTGGCGAAGCATGTTTATATTTAAATATAGCACATGAAGTTGTTCTTTTCTGTTAATGATAATGTTTTATCTACAAGATTTAGTTAATGGTTGGCATAGTTAATCTCTGCAATTTACTATGGGCCAGAGAAATTAGCCTTGCTTGTGGATTTTAGGTTTGTTTGTTTGTTTTGAAATTCGCGCAAAGCTACACGAAGGCTATCTGCGCTAGCCGTTCCTAATTTAGCAGTGTAAGACTAGAGGGAAGTCATCACCACCCACCGCCAACTCTTGTGCTACTCTTTTACCAACGAATGGTGGGATTGACCGTCACATAATAACGCCCCCACGGCTGAAAGGGCAAGCATGTTTGGTGGGACGGGGATTCGATTGCGAGTCGAGCGCCCTAACCACATGGCCATGCCGGGCCTGGATTATAGGTAGACCAATAGATGTGATGTTGTGTACTGTTAGTTGTTTGATTGTGTTTGTTCCAAGTTATTTCTGATACTTCTTGAAGATTTGGTTAATTTTCTTATCTGTGTTATCGATTGGGTTAAACTTAGTCTTCAATTTCTTTGCTGAATGAATTATTATAGCGTTGTCTTTCTTCAAGTTTCTGAGACAAGTTTTTTTTCTAGAAGAGTGGTGTTATAATGGGGTTTCCATTTCATAGCTTTCTGGATTGTTTACATGATTTTTATTCATAATTTTTTTTCTTGTTGTGATAGGAAGTAAATTGTGTTTTTGGTGGCTGTAGCTATATCTATGGTAAGTTATTTGTTAGGGTTAGGGAGAAATTTAGTCCTTTACTTAGTACATTTTTCAGATTCTGTTAATGTTTGTTCGTTTACTTAAGTTTATTTCGGTGCGAATAGGTTTGTTTATAGTAATGGAGACTTTTTTTGCGAATCGATGAGTGAATTTTGAATATGAAATTTGAATAGCTGTGCGTATTTTGATAGTCTACGTCTCTTATATCATCTATCTTCTGATATAGATTATTAATGTTATTCTGTATCTTGTATTAATTTATAAGGTAGTATTTGGTCCTATCATGGAGCTTGCCTTTATTAAATTTATGAGTTAATCTTTCACACCTTGGGGTATTAATAAGTAACTTAGCTTTAAGCCTTTTAGTAATTACATTATGTTGTTTAGATTTATGGAGGAAGATTAGGTAATAACATTTATTTAGAGTTACGTTTTTCTAAATCTCTAAATTCCCTACAAAGTTCGGGCCGTACTGGGTCATTAAGTACTTATGGAAGTCTCGACTGAATCGAGTAGATAATGCATCATATTTCCACAGAAATAGTTCTTCTCTTGACATCTCTGAAGACGGTAGAAAATTAATAGTCAAAACGTATGATACAACTAATTAGTAATTACCATCCAGTTATAAAAAGGTTATTAATCAATAATCATACGTAGGTGATCATATAGGCTACTAACCATGATAAAGATTGATATCCGATCGCCACAGCCTTACCATAAGTACGAAATATTTATAAAATTAGAGGCATTTGGCACTCAAACGAATTTTATTTGACCTAGAACATGTATATGGCATCCATCGTATTTATATGTTCCATACCCTTTGCTTTATTGTAAGATTTTAAACGTCCAATGGGGTGTTACATATATTCCCAAAAAGAGATCAAATTTTGGGTGCTTCACACTACCTACGAACGCCAAATGTCAAGATGTGTTTCTAATATATTCTGCTCAACCATGATTTTATATCGGCTGTGGCTCTCACGTGAATTGCTGATTTGGGTGTTCAAAATAATTTTAATATAACACAATCAGCCCTCGGTACTGGAATGAAGCTTCATGTTTCTGAAACCTCCCGTTTTGCAATCATAATCATGCATAATTTTAAAGGAATGTAAAGGCATTTTGTACATTTATGCTATTTGTTAGCAATTTTTATGTTTGTTTATTTCTTTTAGGTTTCACAGGTATTGACTCTGCCTACGAACCTCCAGTGAATCCCGAACTTGATATCAAAGCGGGCGAACTTACGATCTACGAATGTGTCCAACAGGTCATTCAATTTTTAAAAGATGAGGTATTTATCGCTTGTACTAATAATCGGTCAATTAATCCACGGTAGCATTACACTAACCTGTATTAGATAATATAGCTTAGCTGGTAGGTTTTTGTTTATACTTGAAGATTAATTTTGAACTGAAAATGCAAGGAATGACAGGATAACTTGAGGAACGACATATGCCAATTCTCCCCGCAAGCTGATAGGACTTGTTTTTATACAACTATGAATGACAGTTATTTAATTTGTTTGGATATATATCACGCGTACAGGAATGAAACAATATGACTAGAATGTAATATTCATACTCTTATACACGTACGTTAAGCATAACTTTATCTCTTTGCTCTTAGGGAATCATCCCCGAATCCGCTGTAGACACGGCGAAGGAGCTGTTTGTTCCTAAAGAGAGAATAGAAGAAGTCAGAGCTGAAGCTGAGTCCCTTCCATGTGTGGATATTGATGAGCTTCATCTACAGTGGGTCCAGGTTTTGTCTGAGGGCTGGGCTACACCATTACAGGGTTTCATGAGAGAACGCCAGTTTCTTCAGTGCATTCATTTTAATTGTCTTTTTGATGGTACTGTATTATGAATTAATGCCATTTCACGTCTTTAGTTTGACTTATAATTTCTATCTGTTATATCTTAATACAAGACGGCTTTTTTACTTTTTTTTACCAAACGAAAAAAAAATCCTGATATTTTCGACTGTTTTTATACTGTACATTTTAATTTGCCATAACGAATACAGCGGTTCGATTGAAAAGGTATTTTTATATCTTTTTTATTTTGAATGTCGTAGAAGGGATCAGTAACCAGTCTATTCCTATTGTTCTACCTATATCTTCTGAGGAGAAAGAAAAAGTAGCTGGATGCTCTGCCTTCACCTTGAAATATAACAATAAACACATCGCCATCCTTCGGAATCCTGAAATTTACGAACACAGAAAGGAGGAACGTTGTTGTAGGCAGTTTGGAACCAGCAATAAAGGTCACCCTTATGTAAAGGTGATGTTAAAAATTTTCCTTGATGACGGGGTTTGAATTTCGCGCAAAGCTATACGAGGGCTATCTGAGCTAGCCGTCCCTAATTTAGCAGTGTAAGACTAGAGGGAATTCATCACCATGGGCTACTTTTTTAATCAACGAATAGTGGGACTGACCGTCACATTATAACGCCCTCACGAGCATGTTTGGTGGGACGGGGATTCGAACCCACGATCCTCAGATTGCGAGTTTACAAAATCTAGAACGATTCATTATCAATTTGTATCATACACTGTGCGAACGAATCAAAAGAGAACTGGAATATTTAATGTTAAGGCTATAGTACAGAATTATTGCATTGAAAATTTCAATCACTCTCTCAGTCCCACAGCGTTTTGTATCAGTTATTACTTGGAAGTAAGTCACAGTTTAAAATGCTTCAACTTGTTCATGGGCCATGGTTAGACCTAAAAGAAGATATTTGGAAGTTTCATTCATGAGAATATCTGTGAGATGAACTGAAGTCACAGCAGGGTATTACGAATTGGCTACAAATGTCACAAGGTGTCGTTAGCAGAATATGGTTTGATTTGCTTTGAATTTCACGAAAAGCTACACGAGGGCTGTCTGCGATAGCTATCCCTAATTTAGCAGTGATAAACTAGAGGAAAAGCGGCTAATCAACACCACCTACCACCAATTATTGGGCTACTCTTTTCCAACGAGTAGTGGGATTGACTATCATATTACAACGCTCCCACGGCTGAAAGGACGAGCATCTTCGGCGATGGGAATTCGAACCCGCGACCTTCAGATTGCGAGTCGAGCGCCTTAGCTACCAGGCTTGCAGAATATAGAACCGCATCCAAACCCATGATACAATTGCTCGAGCAACTGGATAACTAAATTAGCATAATTTACAAAGTCATTAAACTGCACTTATTTGTCAGTTTAGTCGGTCTTGGGATACCTGCTCGAAGTATGAATCAAATGTTTGAGGCAGCAACTGGACACAGTATCAGGAACAGACTTCAAGAGGCAGGTGGTCTGTAGACCAAACGGCTAACGATGGCGCTTTTAGCACAAACAAGATATAAAACAGCTTTCATGCAATAGTACTAAGAGTACATCATGTTGACGAACGACGTGTGAATCAAAATTTTTATAGCTGAATTTATTTCCACACTGCAGTCTGATAACACACGTATATTCATTTGGAAGGAATCAGAAATTTGATCCAGTATATTCTGGTAGAGTAACACGTTGTAGATAGAAATGAACACTGGCAGACGCATTATCCTCCAGAATATGCAGAATTACATTTTTAATTCTACACCCTATCGGAACATTTCTACTGCCACGAGGTCTACTATGGTCTGGTGATCAAGATACTCGAATCCCGTCAACAAATATGCTCGCCCTTTCAGCGTTGGGGCGTTATAATGTGACCGTCATTTTAATTTTTCTTTGGATAAAGGGGTAGCCCAAGATTTTGCGGTGGGCGGTGTTGACTAGCTGTATTCTCTCTAATCTATCACTTCTAAATTAGGGACGGCTAGCCATGTAATATTTGAGTAGCTTTTCGCGAAAAACAAAAGAGCAAATCTGCTGTTATGTGTTGGTGCAGTTAGCTTCGACTTCAGTCTAATAGACAATAACGTCCACCTTCATCTACTAAACTGGTTGAAACATTCCTTCAAGAAGAGGTGATTTACAGGACCTCACCTCTCTGAAGCGCGTTTTGGACACTCTTGGGAGGTGAGCACGTTTCGCATGGCATAAAGTGATTCTTAACATTAATGATGCCTTAAAAACATCTCTTACAGGGAAGTGATCGAGAAGACTTTATAGCCTTATGAAAACTTTGATATGATTTCATGCAAGCAACATTTGTTCCAGGCTTCCTTGTTCAGGGTGACAATATTCCACACTGAAGTGAAATCATAAATTGTAAATATGTAAAGCCATCTTCATAAAATGTTCATTTACAAGCGTAGAGTGACCAGTCACTTGCATTTCACATCACAGGGTTTAACATCAGTTGCCTGTTTTTTTGCATAGAAATTATAGCAGTGACTTTACGTTGTAATATAACAATAACTCCCTGTTGGCTCGGCAGTAAGTCTGGGGGTTTATAACGCTAAAAATTGGGTTTTGAGACTCGCAGCGATAAAAGCAGAAATAGCCCGTTCTGTAGCTTTGCACTTAACAATAATGAAATAAACAGAAAAAAACTAGCTATCTTCCTTTAATCTATTAGTTCAAAATTAGGGACTATTATACGCAGTTAGCCGTTTGCTTAGCCTTGTGTTTAATAACAAAAATGTAAAATTAAAATCATAATTATAATCTGATTATGAAATATGTAATGCTACAATGTACGTGGCTCACTTGTCTTTCAAATAATTTAGCAGGATATTTTTTACACATGTTTCATAATTATTACACCGACATTACGTAGTCACAATGTGCAAGAAGTTTGGCGTAATATAGTTTTGTTTCTACATTCACCTTTATACACTTTTACTGCTGAAGACTGAATAAGGCTGTAAAACTTCCTAATTAAATTTATCGTTTATAGTTTCTTGCTCATTCAGCTAAGTAGGCTGTATTCTAAAAAACAACAACAAAAAAAAACACATAATCTTGCATTAAGGAAAAAACAAACTGGATCGTGAACACTTGAGAACTCAAATTTTGAGCTAAACCGACTGTCATCAGCTCAGCTAGACAAAACAACAGAATTTGCTCAATATATCAAAGAAAAATAAAAAAATAAGATGTTTTAAATGATGCATCCTTAAAGATACCGCCTAACAGGATTTCTTCCCCAAAATAAATCAAGATATATATATATATGCATTTTGTTTTAGTTTCTGTTAGTAGCGTTATAATAAAAGGCTACAGGAAAACATTTATGAGGACAGTACATTATATTCACACTTAATTGTTTGTGAAATTGCTATTTGTGTTTGGCGCATTCTTTAGTACGGAAAAATACTTAAAGTTAGTTGTTGTATTTTTTATTTTTCAGAAACGTCAAAGGAAAAAATATTGTATTTTTTATCATCGATTTCTTTCAGATGATTATGGAAAGTGGAGACTGGTTAGCAGGCGGAGAATTGGAAGTTTTTGAAAGAATCCGGTGGAATGACGGATTAGATGAGTTTAGACTTACGCCTCTGGAACTCCGTGCAAAATTCAAGAATATGGGAGTAGGAACTAATTAATAGTATTTTTTTTTCTATTTTTTGCGTATGAAATATAAAGAGGTTTCGTAAGTTATTGACACATACTTATTAAATTAAAAGTTATAACGTGAGTAAATACCAGGAAAAAAAAAATGGTTAGCCAATATCTGTTGATTTAATGCTGAATTCAGGTTAACAATCACAAGACTCTCTCGAATCCTTAATCGAATTTCATTGTCAGCTCTACTCAGAATAGTAAAGTTGTCGGTTTCATCAGTTGGGATTTATACCAAATGTGTCCCTTATGTCGTTGTGATTTCGTATTCAAGTGGATAAGCACCAAGTGGTGGATCCCACACACCTGAAAATTTAATATTACAAATTACAGCCTATTCTTGGGAACTACCCCCCCCCCCCCCCCCAGATGCACTAACTTGGATCTGTTACTTGCCTGAAATATTAACATTTTATTTTTGTTAAATTATGGAAAGTTGTATTATGTAGGATAAAACTAGAGCTATTAATTTCAAAGTTCTTTGGAACAGCGAATTGCAGAATCAGAGGGATGATGGCTTTATTTAAAACACTTCCTGAGCATTTCATTGGCAAATATACATACAATCCAGATGAAAAACACTCACTTCAAAGTTATAGTTTTGCTTAGGTACAAAGACATATTCATGTTCCATTGTGGCTATTAATTGAATGTTTAGTTTTCAAATAGTGTAAGCATCATTTACATGTCCTTGTACTTGAGAAACAGCAAAAGTATTATCAACGAAACGGCTGCAGTATAGTGTTTAATTGTTGCTGAATTATTTTATCCACCTGTTATCATAATTAATTAAAAGTAAATGATTAATAGCACGTGCAAACATAACGTTAGTCCTATTCTCAAGTTTACTTTAGATTTTTCGGTAAATATAAAATGTTCTCTATCAGCAAGAGTTATATATGAAAAAAACATGTATTTAATTAAATCATTTTCAAGATCAGAAGAATAAATCAACAAGTTTTCATTAAGTCAATAGATATATTAGCGAGCGTTTATTCAACGTTAAGATTTGCTTTACACATAATTACGAACAACTCACATGTGCCTGTAATCGTAAATTCATTAAGTAAATTCTTGAAGACAGTTTAATGGAAAATCTAACAACTACGGGCCAATTTCTAATTTAAAAACGAGGAAAAAACAAAGTTTCGCCACTCTATTTCATGTAGGTTTCGACTAATATTAAAACGGTATATAATATAACACATATAAAACAGGAAATAATTATTAAATAAATTGTTTACTTGAATAAAACATGTTAATAATACTAGTGTTATCAATTTATATTTCAATACATCACTAAGTTTCTAATTACTGTCCTCAATTTCTAATAATATGTTGATATTCAAAAGAAACTTTAAAAAACGGTTAATATTTTTCCTTGTCAAAACGACTTTGCCAAAAAAGAAGTAACCACTTTTTTAATAATCAGCCAAGTAATTTCTAATTTATGAAATCGCAATTTTTAATTTTATATTTCATGCAGAATTTTATGTTTTACAGAAAAGAAATTTTAATATAAACCAACAAACTGTAAAATAATGAATTTTTAAAAACTAACTACACTCCTGGCTTAAAATAATTCAACGTTTTACTATACAACAACGACGTAATTAATGCTGTAAAATGACCGCAAGTTTCACTTTTCTCATAAGCCAATGAAACTTGACCTTCCTTCCATCATTGTATCAAAAATAAAACCAAAGTTGGCTGCAGCAGGATTTAAGATTACTTTTAGAAATACTTCGTGGAATACCAACATGTATGTGACCATAGACTGATGAGTTGGCACCATAAAAAGTGAATTAAATACGATATTTACATAGTTACTTAGCGATTAAGCTGGGCTGAAGAGAAAGTTTCTCTAACTAGATATGGTGTGTGTGTTTTCGTATAGTAAAGCCACATCAGGCTATCTGCTGTGTCCACCGCGGGAAATCGAACCCTTAACTTTAGAGTTGTAAATCCGAAGACTTACCGCTGTCCCAGTGGTGGACCAGGATATAGATAATAAATAACTAAATTTAAAATAAATTTACTATATAAAATGAACCCATTTGTACATAATAACAACCATATGTTGTGTACATATAACCAACATTAAATTTGAAACCTTTATAATTTTAATTTTTTTTATTACATTGCTAAACTTTTAAAAACATATTTTGTTTTATATTAATTTTCTATTAGTTACATGTGGAGGATAGGCTATCGGCTTTAAACATATTTCGAAATTCTTAAGTTTTGACTTATGCTTTTATTCGGAGACTTTACAAATAGTCTTTCGTAGTTTACAGCACAAGCAAACAGTATTAAAGGCACCGAAATGCTATAAGTAATAGAAAATTGTAGAATATTCTACAGCGTTGTTATTATTACCGAATTGAAATATTTTCGTTTAAGAGCAAACACTTTTCTATGTAAAGAAATTTGGGCGTAATATTGTAATTATAAAGTATACAAAAATATTATATTGAAACGTGTAGTCTGTATAAGAAAAAATCAAAGTCGTATGCAATGAAATTAAGGACTCTTTACGTCAAGTAATTTACACATGCTGTAACACTAAGAATATGTTTTTGTTACACAAATACAATACCGAAAGAAAATAAAATAAACAGGCTCTCCAATTCTTAATTTATCTTCCTAGGCAGACGCAGTTTTTGCTTTTCAGTTACGTAACCCAATTCACAACGGCCACGCGTTGTTGATGCAGGACACGGAACAAAACCTTCTAAAACGAGGATATAAAAAGCCAGTTCTACTTCTGCACCCTTTAGGTAACTACTAAAATAGAGTTGTATCATGCTGACTAATAATTAATGCTAAAGTCGTGCTAGTGATAATATTTAAGATGTTGTTTATTGATATAAGATATATAATTTTATATTTTTATCTTCCTGTTGCATAAGTGTTTTATCACTGAAATAAAAAGTTTGGTTTGGTTTGAATTTAGCGCAAAGCTACAAGAGGGCTATCTGCGCTAGTCGTCCCTAATTTAGCAGTGTAACACTAGAGGGAAGGCAGCTAGTCATCACCACCCACCTATCGCCAATTCTTGGGCTATTCTTTTAACAACGAATAATGGGACTGACCGGAACATTATAACGCCCCCACGGCTGAAAGGACGAGCATGTTTGGTGGGACGGGGATTCGAACCCGCGACCCTCAGATTGCGAGTCGAGCGCCCTAACCACCTGGCCATGCCTGGCCAAAATAAAAAGTTTGACCATAATTTGTTATCAATATCTTACATAATTATGCCGAAAGTATTTGGTACATTTATAATAGAAGTATTTGATTTTCGTTTGGAAAAAAGCCAGACGTAGTTTAGTGATTAACGTACTCGAATTGTTAATTTTGGTTGATATCTGTTGCTGCAAAAACACGCTCCGTATTTTGGGAACTTAAATGATGGCCAAATCCCACTATTTGATCAGACAAGAGAAGTCGATGAGTTGGCGATGGGAACTGTTGATCAGCTGCTCTCCCACAAATTCAACAGTTAAAAATTAGGAATGGCTAATATAGTTCTTGTTTATCTTGTGCGAATATACTAAAACCAAGCAAGCAAGCAAATAAAAAGAGTTAGGTGAAATAAATAACATTACTTAAAAATTAATTTTCAATTCTTTAGCCACTCGAGTGAATTTGTTACAGCCAAAAAATCTATATCAAACTGACTCATTAAAACCTATGAATATACTCCTATGGCTAGTGAAAAAAATTATCAATCTGTCGAAATGTATAAACGAAGCTTGAAGTGACTAAATGAATTTAAAATTCCGTGATTTGAGAAGCTCATAAGGCTCAAAAGGACAATACAGTTTTGTCTTGAACTTTTGTAACTAGCAAATAAGTAAGTAAACTTAGTATTTGAATTCTAGGAGGGTGGACAAAGGAGGACGATGTTCCCTTATCTATCAGAATAAAGCAGCACAAAGCTGTATTGGATGAGGGAATTCTCAATGCAGACAGATCAGTTTTGGCAATTTTTCCTTCTCCCATGATGTACGCTGGGCCAACAGAGGTATGAGAACATTAATTCTAAGTAACTAGAAATTATCAAAAATAGTTAATTTGCTAAGGTGTTTATGAACATAAAATATGACTAGTTTTGGTAGTGTTATTGGTAAAAAGCCAAATGAATAATCACATCAGAAGTATGTAAAACTTGTTCAAACAATCCTCCGAATACCTGAGAATTTTATAGTTTTAATTATGCTTGTATTTGAGAATGTATTAAAACATCCTGAGACACATTCTGTTTTAGGTTTTCATATAGCGCAATAAACCTTATCGTTATGAGGTCCTTCTATAGACTGTCTTTAGAACTTTGTTGTAATTTCATAGAAGGAGAACTTATCGAAACTTCTAAATCGGTAAATCTGTAGCGTGCACTCATTTTCAAATCTTATGGTTTCAGGCACCAAATAATACAAAAACCTTGAATTTATGCCTAACACTATTATAAGTGGAGCTGATATGATTAGCTGTACATCATTGTAATCCTTTTGTCTATCATTAACTATTGTTTCGATACTTGACATCATTAATGTATGGTGTGTGATATTGTAATAAAATGTTTTGGATGAAATTGATAAACTATAAATACCAAATCATTTTCAGTGTTTTTTTCCTTTTTTAAATAAGAGATGGTGATGATAGTGGAACACAATTTTGGGTATCGCGCAGGTCTGAAACGAGTCTCCTGAAATAGTGTAGGATTAGCCATTCCAACTTTATCTCACGATTGAATTACAGCTGTATTAGAGAAATGACCAAGTTCGCTGGATTGCTAGAGATATTATCAGTTTCGCTTGTCAGATGTCCATTAATTGTGGAATGAAGAAAATTAAGGATTAATTTAGCCTGATTTTATAAAGAACAAATATATATTTTCTAACTAAACACTGTAAGCGACAGATAGCTCCCCGGTGGCTTAGCAATAAGTCTGCGGTCTTATAATGCTAATAATCGAGCTTCGATACCTACAGTGGGTAAAGCACACAGAGCTAGATAGCCAGCCCATTGTGTAGCTTTGTGTTTAACTGAACGATCTCAAGACTATATTTTTATTTCTGGAACCAAAATGTGAAGACTAGCAAGAGACGGTCAAAGTCCTCCAGATGGCTTTATGGCACCTTCAGCCTGGAAGATTCTATCTGAATACTATCAGTCTGTGGTGCAAAAGGACTAAATAAGTAATTCGAAATATATGGTTTCTAAATGAGCCCATGTAATTAATAATCTTCAAAATATAAAACAAAGCGACAGAATTTTTTTTTCGATATTCATTTGATTTCATTGATTACAGGTTCAATGGCACGCTAAAGCCAGAATGTCCACTGGAGCGAACTTTTACATTGTTGGGCGAGATCCTGCAGGGATGCCCCACCCAGATACCAAAGAAGATCTGTATGAACCAACCCATGGAGGAAAGGTAACGTTGACTCATAAGCAAAAAATATATAACATAAAGATTGAAAGGTTAATGTTTGCCCTTTTTTTAAGTATTGAGGGATGTAGGGATAGATTATCCTGAGATATTACATAATATAAAGGCGCCATAAAACTCCCCCCATCAACCACTATAATATCAAAATGGGGAAATAATTCAGTATGGCTGAGCCACTGAATCATGGTAAAGCGTTAAGCCTATCTCTTGTTATTAAAATGCCAACACACGATAAAGCGTTAAGACAATCTTTAGTTATTAAAATGCCCCATGAAAACGTTGAGAGCTTCAGGTTATAAATTATTGGTTAAAATATATTTAATCTTCAAGTCGATCGGTTAAAAAACTGTACAGTATGGGACAGTCCTTTCCAAATTTGGTCCGGATTCTGGATCACTTTGAAGCATTTTTTATAACGAGGAGATAGGGCATTTTCTGTAAAGTATTATCGGATTTGCACCAAATTTCATGGGTACATTAAGGTTGAGACTCCTCATCACACTACAAAAAATGATCCGGATCGTTGATCATTCTCGATCTGAGAAGGATTTTCTAAGTTCTCGAAGGTGAAATTTGACGTTATCTAATATAAATGCATGCCATTTCGAAAAGGAGCGGCGGGGAGATGGTACGAAATCTCTCTGATTGATGTTGTTTAAGAGGTATTAGAAATGTCACCTTTAGGCGAGGTTTAATTTGTTTATACTTATTTTTAAAGCTCATTATTTCTGACAATGTTCTATTCAAGTTCTTCTAGTAGGAGGCATAGAGCTTTGAGACTTTTATGACATTTACAGCCTAGCAATAAAGGGAATTATGATAAGATAAATTGAGTTTAAGAAATCTCGCGAGGTGCGACAATTGAGAACAAGAGAAGGAGGATGAAAGAGATAAGTAACTACTTTTATTGTACATACCTCAGACAGTAAATTGGGTTTTAATGGAAACATATAAAAAGTGAATAACTTAATAAAGTAAATTTAGATTATATCTTAGTTACCTGCAGAAGAACTGTACATACGTTATATTGGTTCTCCATTTAATTTAAATATGTTCATTCGCATTTCTCGTAAATAATCTTCATAAATAAATAACTTAAGTAAAATGTGGAATTGTCTAGAGTTGTAATTACTTTAGAGAATTAGAAAACCTGCATGCTTAAAGTCAGAAAACTGGTTACTCTAGAATTTTGTTATGGCCTTATTTCCAGTTATTCTTTTATTATTATTATATTTGAGTGTCTAGATAAAAGAAAGCATTTTTACAACAGTTTTATTCGAAACGTTGTTTGAAACAGCATGTAAACGTAACCCTATTGAATTACTTAATTTCTAAAACTTGTTTTTCCAGGTTTTGACTATGGCTCCTGGCTTAACACAGCTGGAAATTATTCCTTTCCGGGTAGCAGCTTATGATAAAGAACAGAAAAAAATGGACTTCTTTAGCCCTGAACGAACTCAAGACTATATTTTTATTTCTGGAACCAAAATGCGAAGACTAGCAAGAGACGGTCAAAGTCCTCCAGATGGCTTTATGGCACCTTCAGCCTGGAAGATTCTATCTGAATACTATCAGTCTGTGGTGCAGAAGGACTAAATAAGTAATTCGAAAGATATGGTTTCTAAAGGAGCCCAAGTAACTAATAATCTTCAAAATCAAACGATTCTTACACTCTAATGTAACTGTTACCTTTTGTCACTGCCAATAGACTAGCAGCCAGAAGATATGTTTGTACTTATTAATCCCAACTGTGTTAACTCAGTGTTTAGAACGATAAAATAACTAACAACGAATAAATCCGTGACATACGTGTATTTATTAATGGAAACTAGTGTTAAATGAACTATTATATTTATAAAATAACATTAATTAGGACTTCGAATGCTTTCATTGAATGATGAAAATTATTTTTGTATATGATGTAAGACATTAAAAAAACAAAGAAACATATTTGATGACACGTATATTAAGTACATATTATATTTATAAGTGATGTTTTATTGCGTTATGAACATGAGAACTGGTTTACTTTGACTAATTTGAAGTATAATTTTTTTAATAATTCGGTCGATTAAGATGTACCGTACTTTTTTCTTTCAGATATATGTGATAAAGACCGACAAGATAAATGCAATGATATACAATTTCTAAATATATTTCGTTGAAATATATAATGTTTTTATCGCTTTGTATTGGTGTTGCTTTATGGTGGGTGTTAGTCAACAAAATTATTTTCAAGCTCTCCGTAGACCTTAGAAAACTTTATATATCTTAAAGTTTGAAATATGATATGAACAGTGTTAACTCTGAATAATATCTACCTCTACGCTTGTAAAAATACAATGGCAAAAATGGTGTTATTAGAAAAAATATTATTTCAAGTAAAAAGTAATACTGTTCATGAAGTTTTAAACGTGTTTACGGATAGAAAATGTGAATTTATTGTATTCGAAAAAGCTAATCTATCATTGATTTTTTAATGTTTTAAATGTACTTAGGTAGGAATTTATTTTCGAGTGATATTTATAACCTATAGAAATTTGCTGTTACGCAAAAATATGAATAAATTTATGTATTCATTATTTTAAGGTGTTTCTGTATATTATTAAGCTGCAATAATTTTAAATCGTGGTTAATATGGCAATGCTTCTTATTGAAATTTCAATGGGTTATTTTGTTGTGGAAAAATATTTTCAATCTTTTAATAAGTATAAAAAGTTTAAGGAATTTTGCAATCAAAAAGTGTGGTAAATTTAAAAATTACCTAAATAGGAAGATGAATGATACTGTTATGTAATCATTCTAAAAGGTATATATGATTTTTGATTACGTAAACA